GGATAACCATTATCACATTTGATACATCAGTGTCACAGTGTTTAGCATCACAGCAACCACAAGTTACCTCTGTACAGCAATGTACAGACCAGTGCTATACCACTTAGAAGAGTGTTTGACCAAAAACAATGAAAATCAGGCCTGAGGGCCACAGATTAAAATTACCCACGTGTAGCTTGGTAGCATAACTTTCTTACCACTAGGCCAACATAGCTCTCTCTATGTTATTGTTGCTGTTGTTTTGTTGTTGTTTTCGTTGTTGTTGTTGTTGTTGTTGTTAGGTGCCCTCAAGTCATAGATGACTCATTGCAACTCTATGAAAGAAATACCTGAATGTTGGTGTAACTTTCATCATTTCTTCATGTTCATAGAGTTTCCAGAAGTGTTTTTAATTATTGATAACATGAAATTTAGTCTGTAACCTTTGTGTTTTTCTTTTCAATAATGCAGGCATGTTGATTACTCCATTATTGAATATAACATTCATTTCATCTCACTTAATATGTGTTTATCATCTAATTAAAAAACACCAGTTGTATAATCTGTAGCATGCTGTAATGTTAACTGAAACGGTGGTGGTAAAAATTCACCGGGGAAAGATGAGGCTCTTGTGATGTGCCATCAAGTCGCCTGCAACTCATAGCGACCCTATGTAAAACACTTGTAAATCCTGCTCTATCTTGTGCCAGTTATAATCTCTCTGACAGCCTACCCTCATTGCCCCAGTTACTCAGTCAATCTACCTCATTGAGGGTCTTCCTCTCCTGTACTGTCCCTCCACCCTACCAAGCATGACATTCTTCTCCAAGGACTGGTCTCTCCTTGCAACATGTCCAAAGGGTCTCAAAGGAAGCTTCAGAATCCTTGCCTCCAAGGAGCAACCTGGTTTAACCCTCTCCAGGATGAACCTCTTCATTCTTTTAGCAATATGTTCAATACTCTTCTCCAACACCACAGCTCAAAGGCAGCAATTCTCTATCATCCCTGGTCACTGTCCAGCTCTCTGATGTAAGTGATTGCAAAGACCAAAGCCTGTATCACATGTAACTTAGTCTCCAGACTGACATCACTGCTCTTCAGTACTTTGGAGAGGTCTCAGACAGCAGATTTTCCCATTGCAATTCATCTTCTAAATTCTTGGCTGCTGTTGCCAAGCATGCTGATTGTGGAGTCAAACAAACTAAAGCTATTTACAGTTTCAATCACTTCACCATCCATCACAATTCTGCCAATTGGCCCAGTGGTAAGAATCCTTTTTTTCCTTGATATTTTTCTTGATCTTCAATCCACATTGAAGGCTACAATCCTTGCCCTTCTGAAGCAAGTGCTTCCGGTGCTGTTTCAGCAAGAAAAGTTGTGTCATCTGCATAATGCAGATTGTTAATGAGTCTTCCTCCAATCCTGATGACACATTTCCCCTCATAGAGATAATCTATAATCTAATCATTTCTCCTCATGGATAATCTGTTCTGCATATAGATTGAAAAAGTTTGGAGATCAGACACATCCCTGGAGTACACGCTTCCCAATTTTGAACCATCCAGTGTCTCCCTGCTCTGTTCTGATGACTGCCTCCTGGTCCAAGTAGGTTTCACATAAGCACAATCAAATGTTCTGGGATTCCCATTCTTCTCAGAGTCAGCCACGGTTTGTTGTGATCCACACAGTCAAACGCCTTTACATGGTCAATAAAACACAGATAGACATTCCTCTGGTACTCTCTGCTTTCTGCCAAGATCCATCTAACATTAGTTATACTATCCCTAGTACCACAGCCTCTTCTAAACCCAGCCTGCACTTCAGGAAGTTAGTTCTCTGTTGATGTGCTCTTCCAGTTATTTTTTAATAATCTTCAGCAGAATTTTGCTTGAATGTTACATTAATTATATTGTTTGATAATTTCCACACTCTGTAGGGTCGCCTTTCTTTGGAATGGGAACAAAGGTAGATCTCTTCCAGTCAGTTGGCCAGGTAGTTGTCCTCCAGATTTCTTGGCACAACTTGGTGAGCACATCTATGGCAGCATCTCTTTGTCAAAATATATCAATTGGTGTATCATCAACTCCTGGGGCCTTGTTTTTTGCCAATTCTTTCAGAGCAGCTTGGACTTCTTTCTTCATCACCACAGGCCCTTGCTCACAGGTTGTTTATGGGTACTTCTAATTTACTTGAGGTGAATTTCTAATACTGGTATAACTGTGTCATATGGATTTCTATACTCATGTTTTTTAAATGGGTTACTTACAAAGTTCTTATACATCATGTTTCACACTATTCTTCATTCACACTGTGTTTCATAAAACCATTGTCATATACATTATACTTTATAAAATGAATCATCATTGGAACTTGTCCATCACTGCCATGTCTTTTCTCTAGGATCCTGCCCATTTTCTTCCCCAAATCTTCAGCCACCAAACTGCAGAACCCTGTGGTTTCATGCACTAACTGTCCTAATGCTTCCACTCTCACATCTTCCTCCCTTGGGTTCCCACATATGTTTTACTATTTATCTTTCTATTTTTGCAATAATGGCCTTATGCAGCATTTGCCTTTATGAACCTGAGTTAGTTCACTCAGCATAATGCTCTCCCAAGTTATATAGTATTTTTCAAAATCATTGCAATTGAGTCCTGCATAATATTCCATTGTGTGAATGTACTACAATTTCTCAATCCAGTCAGTTGTGGCTGGACATTTGGGTTGTTTCCATGTTCTTGACTGCTATCACTGACCCTCCAGTGGATTTGGAGAGGCAGCAAATTGCAAGAGAGAAGCTTTGTCATTCTTCTCCCTTGAAACACCTAATGCATCCAAATCCTGTGCCTTTGGGAATGCAGCTCAACTTCTTACCACGAGGCCACCAAACCTTTAAGACATCTCCTTTTATTTCATCACTGAAAACTCCGTTTTGTTAGATACAGGCTTTGTACATTCCAGGTTCTGATTATCACTGGGTATTTTCATCTCTTCTCACTTTTAACTTTGTCACAGCAGAAAATAAGAGCCCTGAAGATTTTCCTCCAACCGTATCATCAAGCATACTGCATTTTTTAATTCAAAATTGTTTTCCAGGGATGAAGTGAGTATCTTCCAACCTGAAGGACTCATCTTCCGGCACTGTGCCACTGCTCATCTGTTATCTATAAGATTTTTTATTAAAAAAATAATACTTATCTTTTATTCATTGTTGAACATTTTCTTCCTCCCTCCCACAACCCATCTCAGAATGCTCCCCTTATTCTATATTTTTGTCATACATAAAATGCCTAATCATATCTGTCTTTAAGACACTTCTCCTCATCTATTCTAAGGCAGTGTTCATTATCTAGTTACTCTTTTCCCATTCTCCCTCCAATCCCATCCCACTGTTTGTCTTATTTTATAACAATAGTGTTATGCAGTGTATGTTCTTTCATGGCTGAGATATTGCATTCAGCCTAATGTCCTTCAGGCTCCCAAATGTTGTGTAATGTTTTATGAGTTCACTGTTTTTCAATGCTGCATAATATTGTGTGCCTATATCATAATTTTTCTATCCATTCATTTGTTAATGAGCACTTAGATTGCTTCCAACCCTTTTCTATTGTGAATAAGGCAGCAATAAACTTAAGCATGCCTACATCTGCTTGAGTTGTGGCTCTGGTTTCCTTAGGATCTATTCCCAGTAGTGAAATTGCTGTGTCAAATGGTATTTCTATGTGTAATTTTTTGAGAAGGTGCCAGACCGCTTTCCCTAGTGGCTGTACAATTTTACATTCACACCAGCAGTGAATAACAGTTCCAATCTCTCCATAGCTGCACTAGCATGTCTTGTTTGCTGTCCTATTGAACTTTGTTATTGTTGGTGAGGTAAGACAATATCTCATACTTGTTCTGATTTGTACCTAAGGGTTTTTAACATTTCTTTATGTGTATGTTTGCCATCCGAATGTCTTCTTTGGTGAAATGTCTATTCATGTCGTCTGCGTACTTTGTGATTGGGTAGCTTACCTTTTCCTTGTTGAAGTGCTGGAGTATTCTATAAATTTAGATATATGTCCCTTATCAGGTATGCCATTGCTAAATATATTTTCCTAGTTTGTGGGTTTTCTTTTTACCCTGTTGGAGAAGTTCTTTTATGTGAATAAATATTGTATTTTTAAGAGGTCCCATTTGAAGGAAGAATATGGCAGTTGCCCCACCACCCCCAAGCTTGACCACTTCCTGAGAAACTTAATAACACCTGAGCTGGTCACATCAAAGACCAGCAGACAATGAATCCTGATAAGAGTCTGAGCTTGAGAAAATAAAACAAAACAAAACAAAACAGCTAAAACCTAACTAAATTAACACACCAAATTCCAAGAAGTACCATCTTAGTCCTCCCCAGGACTCCAATAAAAAGGAAACCCCCCAAACTGCCCACATGCCATTTGGATCCTGTCTGCATGCCATGCGGCTGGGTCACTTGACGCCCCTCTCGGACCCTGCAATAAAGGTCTGTTCATTTCTTGGGACCAATTCTTTTCTTTATTTCTCTCCCTCGCGCCCTCGTGCTTTTTTTTTATATCTAACACCATTCATCTATTTTATTTTCTCCTGGTTTTAAGGGAATTTGTTTGTTTGTTTGTTTGTTTTGTTTAATTATACTTGGAAGATTGTTTATGTTGTGAATTAGGGATTCTAGGGTCATTCCTCAAAAAACTTGACAATGAAAATCTTATAAATAACCCAAAACCTAGCACCAACATCATTCTTAATGAAGAGAGAGTAAAAGCACTCTTTGAGAACAGAAACTAAGAAAGGGTGCCTTGTATCACCTCTCCACAATATGACTTACTGCCAGACGTGGAGGATTTTCTCCTGCAAAAATATGAAAATTAAACAAAACTCCTGAAGGCTCAAACTGAGCATTTCTCCAGATTGGATGAAAGGAAAACCATCTCCCCTGGAAGAAATGGCTCCCACTCACGGGGACACTGCCTGTATTTGTTGTTTCCCGAGTGCTCAGTGCAGCTTCATTCTCTCTCTGAATGGAGTTTTTCCTTTCGTTTACACTGACTTCCTCTTACTGGGTCTCTTGCACAGTAATATAAGGCTGTGTCCTCTGGTTTCAGACTGCTCATTTTCAAAAAAGCAGTGCTTTTGGAATCATCTCTTGAGATAGTGAACCTGCCTTTCACAGAAGCAGCATATTCAGTTGTGTGACCATTAGCTTTGTTTCTAATGAAACCAACCCACTCCAGTCCCTTTCCTGGAATCTGGCAAATCCAACTTATATAGTGATCACTGAAGGTGAACCCAGATCCCTCACATGAGAGTTTCAGGGACCCCCCAGGCTGTCGCAGGTCTCCCCCAGACTACCAGCTGGACCTCACACTGGACACCTGCAAGAACAGAGACATTGGGATTAGATCACACATGCATACGCAGACATACCCGTGCTCACACACATAGATCTTCAATTTATCCAAAACAGTACCGTGTAAGATGGCCAGAGCAAAAGTCCAGCTTAGCCCAAATTTCATGCTGTGTTCTCTGAGTTAATGATTAGGTACAAACTGGAAAAAGCAAAGCTGTCCAGGGACTGGAGCTTGCTTCCCAGAGCTGACAAATCATGAGCTCTGTGGGTTTTATCAACAGACTGAGTGTTGTATTTGCATGTTCTCTTCCAGCTAAAAGAAACAGAGTGGTGTTCCTGGACAGAGTCCTCTACGTGCATCTGAGAAAAACAAGTGCCCTAACATGAGAACACCATTTTTATAAGACTTGTTTAATTAACTGCACGCTATAAAGTCATAGTTGTGATTTTTTTTTTATATTATGACATTTTAAAGCACCTTTTAACTTAAAAACATGGTCTTACAAAACTTTTGTGACACAAGAGCTAAGAATGCATCTTCAGCGCTCTCTCCTTTAAAGTGCTGGTGCAGACTGTGATTACTGCTTGTTCATGCCAATGTAATAATCAAGGATTTTTCTGCTCCTGGAATTTCTGTGCACATAGTTGTTTTTCTCTTTCAAGGAATGTTCACATTTCAGGTATGTGTCTTTGTGAGGTGCTGTAAAATCCACTATAATTCATATTAACTTATTAAACTAAAGCTCTGAACCTTGCCCTGCATACACCATCCCCAAGCTCCTTGTTAGAATCACTGTGCAAATTCATCTTGTTGAGAGTCTTCCACTCTTTTGCTGTTCTTTCCCAGCAAGATTTTTTTTCTTTCCTAAGAATTGGCCTTTCCTTAAAAAAATGGCAACATATGTGAGACAAATTTACACCATCTTTGCCTTTAAGTAGCACTTTAGTCATACTTACACTAAAATAGACGTGTTTGTCTTTTGGCAGTCTCAACATTGTAATTCAAAGACAACTATTCTTCTTTAGTTATCCTATTCATTGTCCAACATTTAGATACTTGCAAAGCAATTGAAAATACCATGACTTGGCTCAGGTACACCGTATTTTTTAAATTGAAACATTGATAAGTATCATTAAAACAGTCCAACTCCTTAATAGAAATCACAGTTGCAAGCTATAGCTTTCATAGAGCATATATTTAGTAGATAGTTTCATGAATTTATATATGTGTCAAGGCTCTCAAAACCATATTCCTGAGGCATAAAGATAAATAAAGTCTTGGTGCATGTTATAATATTGATTTTCCTCCAAAACATGCTGAGTGATGTGAATCACAAGACAAAAATGGTTCTTTTTTAATAAAATATCAGAAATAGGAAAATGTTTAAAAACCATTTTTTTAGCATCTGCTAGCAATGGGAAGTTGACAAATAGGGGGAACTTGTTTAAGAAAGTTTGAGACTTTGTTTATTATGTCAAAATTGGAAACAGACATGGGTGATTGTTGGACAACGTAACTGATGTCACTGAAATTTCTGTGCAGAAAATGGTAAATTAGCAAATGTCATAATATATAGTGTATTCATGATTGAATCTGCTAAAATTAGTAGCAGACCAGTTATAAGAAGAGTCTACCTTGTCCCAATTGTTAGATTTTCTGTATAACTCCATGATTCCTGACACCAATAGCCCCAACTTTATTCAGTTTCGCTGCTCCTCTGTGTCTCTTGAGTTCAATGATTTGGTGGAAGGTGTCCCAGAGACTCTGATCCATTAAGATAATGATTCACATGACTGTGGAGTCCCAGATGCATTTGAGTTGTGGTGCTGGAGAAGAGTATTGAACACACCATGGTTTGCTAATAGAACAAACAGGTTCATCCTGGAGAAAGGGAAACCAGGCTGATCCTTGGAGTCAGGGTTCTGAAGGTCCTTCTAATATGCTTAGGACATGTTGCAAGGAGTTACCAGTCCTTGGAGAGGGACATCATGATTGGGAGTGCGGAGGGCCAGTATAATAGAGGAAGACCCTGGATGAGATGGATTGATTCAGGGACTGGAGTAATGAGGGTGGGTGTGTCAGGAATGATGAGGTTGGCTCAGGATAGAACAGGGTTCAGAGCTGTTTTACATAGGGCCACTATAAGTTACAAGCGATTCAATGTCACATATCAGCAATATTTTATGCAACAATATGGTCTCATATCAGTGTATATTTGATGTTATTTATTAAAACAGGAGATGCCACTAAAATTTCACTCCTCAAACACTTTCAAAAGGATTTTCTCCAACATGAATTCCCTGTTGTTGCCCAATTTTGTAATTACAGGTGATGAAGAACACTCTTATAACTGTCATATACATTCTTACCACTGTAGCCCCTATGGTGGTGAACTAATAGATGCTCAGTGTTAGAAAATTTCTGAATCCATTTCCATCGTAATGATATAGTTCACCCTGAAAGACTTCTTCACACTCAATGTGACATTGTTTCATCCCTCTGTTGTATGTGGGCAGGTTCTAGATAAATCTCATTTCACCCAAGAAGTTCTCACAGGTGAAGGGCTTCCCTGACACTTATGTCCTCCAGCTGCCCACACACAAGTCCCTATCCACATACCTCTTGGAAGTTTTTTTCTACAGTGTAAATCTTCTATTCCTGAGGAAAATTTGCACTCAGTCAAGAGGCTCTCATATATGCTCCACACAAGGACAGTTTGTGGCCAGGGTTTGTTACTTTGTGATCACCCAGATAAAAAATAAATAAATTAAAGATTAAAAATTATCTGTCACAGGCGTGACTCTTTTGTGGAAGGTTTTGCTTTTTCAAATCTGAACTGTGAAATCTCACTGAAAGAGACACCCTTCTAGAGGTGCTGCTTCTTCTCTGTTGCGTTCAAAACAAACTGACAGCAAATAAATGCTGATACTATGCATGCTGACACTTGTAAGAAGAATCCTTGTAACGTACCAATGCTAAATATATAAATATGCCTCAGATCAATTACACATGATCATTCAGAGAACAAGTTTACAGACAACACAGCAAGGGATTGCCTATAATATGGGGCAGACTATAACTCTAACTCTCATAAAGTAGAGTACAATTTCAAATGACAAAAGAATTGGGTAAAAGTCCAGAAGAAGCAGCAGGTTTTACATCTCCTTCTGCTTTCAGCCTTCAGCAGGGTGTGTGTGTGTGTGTGTGTGTGTGTGTGTGTGTGTGACAGACAGACAGTCAGACAGACAGACATCATAGATAATTAGCTTAGCTGTGCCCAGGAAAACCTAACTAGACTCAAGAAGCCATAGCATTCCAGAATATTTTAGGCTATATGGACTACTTGTGACTAATTTTCAGAAATTAGTTGCAGAGATGGCAGTGGAGAGGATCAGGTAATAAAAAGATGAGAAATCACAGTAGAAACTCCTCTCAGCAAAGCTTCAAGAACTGTGAGGTAGAGGCAAAAATTAGTTGTAACCATATTGACTTGTATGAAGATTCTGGCAGACACATGACACCTTCATATACAATATGATTCCAGCCCTGTTGTCATGCCAGCCAAAACTGCCATCCATAATAATCAGGCCTCATTGTAGCTATTCTTGCACATTCATTCTCAGATGAAACAAGGTTGTGTTTCCACTTAGAGTCCATTCTTGATAATTAACCTGTAATTAAGAGGAGGCTGGCCAACTTAGGCCATGGTAATTCACTACACAAAAGTACACTGTCAATAAGAGAAATGCATATCAAAATCAAAATGAGATCCCATCTCACTCTAATAATAAGACAAAGTTTAACAGAACAGTAAACATCAAATGTTGGAGAGGGTGTGGAGCGATTGGAACTCTCATACAATTTTGATGGGATTGTAAAATGTTACAAGCACTCTGGAAGATAGTTTAGTGCTTCCGCAAAAAGCTGAACATACTCCATATTTCTCATCATGATGAAGTTGTTTGGTGACTTTAATTTTCTGACCTCCAGTAGCTCAGATGAACCATAAAGAGTTGGAGCTGGAGGAAGAGGTTGACGAAGGTACAGCTAGGAACCTGTACTTAGCACCCAGCTCATGCTGGAGCTGCTGTCATAAAGTCATGGACAAGCACCACCAATACCACTGTAACACCCTCTGTCAAGAGTTTGAGAACTTCTTCGAAGATTTCAACACCCTGTGTATCGAGGGTTTCTCTCACAGCAGTGATGCCGTAACTAAGGTGGAGCTCCAGAGCATCTCTGAGAATATCTACCAGGTAGACATCAACAAGGCCTAGATGTCAGACATCGTTCTCAACAGTCAGAACCACATCTCTTCTTCTGATACAGGAGACAAAGCGGATCACAGCCTGGAGCCGCTCTTCACCTATATCAATGAGATGCCGCTCTTCACCTATATCAATGAGATGCTATTCTCCAAACCAACCTATGCTGCCTTCATCAGTCTTCTCAACAATTACCAGCAGGTGACAAGCCATGAGGAGCACCTCAATGCCCAGCAGCTGGTTGAGCAGGATACTTTTCTTAGAGAGATCATGAAGACCACTGTCATGAAGGAAGTCTACCGCTTCCTCCATCACCAGAATCGTTACAGTCCAAAGCAAGAATTTGTCGGTGACTTGAAAACACATTGTTTGGACTATGTTCAAAAGGCAACGATGAGGGAGATTCAAGTGGCTTTGAACATGTTTTCTCAGGTGAAGTAAAAAAGGCAAGGTCACGGGCTTCCACAACTGGGTCCACTTCTACCTGCAGGAGAAGGAAGGCCTGATTAACCACTACAGCTATGACTACGATGGGCCTTGTGACTCCTATCCTGACGTACAGCCCATGCAGTTCAACTGAGATGACTGCTATAAGGAAGTAGGTGCTGCTTTATTGGGAGCAGCCCAGAGTTCAAGTTTGCACTCTATTCCCTGCACTTCATTGCCAAACCAGGTAAAGTATGCTGCTTAAACCCAGGTGGTCATCCCCTGGCCATCCAGACCTACACCTAGGATAAGTCTACTTACAGAAATGGCAAGAAATGGCCACAGCCTACATGGTATCTTTTCACAAATAGAACTCTGAGCCAGAAAGGGGCATGAAAACAGTGAAGGCTCCTGTAGACTAGGAAGCATATCTCTTTTATACTGGAGAGTGGGAGAAGGGGACCAGGTTACTGAAAAGGATTCTCAGAAATGTCCATATGTGATGCCCACTTTCCCAGAAACACTCATATGGAAAAGGAGAAAAGAGAAAACTTATAAAACATAGAGAGATGCAATCAACTCTCTGTGCTTTAGCATTTTGGAAACATAAGATCCCGCGTCTAGATGGGATCCCTCTGTAGCTCTTTGCCTTAATGTGTGTGGAAGCATATACAAGTCATTTCTCTCTCCACGACTCATGTTTTCCTTTCAAGTAAATGGAAGAGGACGTCTCCCCTTCCTCTTTCTGGTTAGAGGGCAAACTTAATGTTATTATTACTGTGAAGATATTTTGAATTGTTTTCAAGATAAAGTTAAAAATTATCAGTGTTAATGTGCACACCTTAGCAAATACAATCCACCCCTTTTGAGGCCCTCAAATAAATCAAGTCACAGAAAATAAGCAGTGAGCGTCTGGTTTGGGGGAGATTAGGTATGCAGAGAAAAATCTGTGGGGAAACTCCTGTGTAACTGAGATCATGAGCAAAGGGCTCCAGGCTCCACTGCTTTTGAGCCCAATTCAGTATCTGCATCAAGGAGCTCCCCCTTGTGGGTGCTCAATGCAGTTACAGAGTTGGCTTTTGATCCTTAATCTTTCTTTTCCCTCCCCCGCCCCCGCCCCCCAAATAAGTGTTAGAAGAAAAAAGAAACTTACAGCTTGGTTCTGTTAATATAATTGTCTTAAGATTTATTCAATAGCCACAGTTTGCTTCAAATGAACTCTAGAATAGGAAACCTGGGATACTTGGGATTCTTACCACAATCACAGTTAGAAATTTCCCCTCAAAGATACCATTTGACCCAGCAATTCCACTACTGGGAATATACCCTAAAGAGACCATAAATGACATCCAAGTAGATATATGTATACCCATGTTT